ATTTGAACTGAGGGAGGCCAGACCTAGACGAACTTTGAGAGGATGCGGTTGGATGAATGACTCTCTTATCCGTGTCTATGAACGAATATTGTGTCCATTCTGACGGTTGGCGTTGCCCTAAACATACTCTACAAAACTATGCGTCTGGACTGTTCAAGAAGGTGGATGCCGTACAACCACAGAGTTGCACCACAATTAATTTTCGGTAATTTGTGAGATCAGGTTGGCGATATTTAAGTTCCAAGGCCGAGATGTGCATGCTGGAAGACTGGGAACAGAGGTTTCAGTGTTTCCTATTGGATCTTTTTACTGTTTTTTATTCCTTGAAATTGATTGTTAGAGCAATGGACGATGCTAGAGTCTCACTTAGACGTTTCCATCTCCAACCATGCACCAACATGTGAGACAGGGACACGAACCCAACCGGAGATTCATGGGTTGATTTGCTCACACGCCGGCACTAGCGTGGGTTGATTTGCTCACATCCAGTATGTTTGACTCGAGAGGAGCAAACGGGGTTAGATCACCTGATCCACCCTACTATCAATGCGTCATGTCATCCCAGCTCGTGCCCACGCTGCAAGTTGGGAAGATACAAAATGTTATGTACTAACATAACATTGCTAGTAGCTCATGAGTTAGCTAGTTTCTTTTGTAGGAACATGTGCATGTGCACGGCAGTCGTATTGTGCTTCTCATTTTTCTTTTTAGAATGTGGTTAAGCAAATTGTAAACAGGAAACAAATTGGTTTGAGAATGGGATTGTGCGTACGGACGGGTTTCATCAACACTCTTGTCAGGAACTCACTTGATCTAACTCAACTTAATTAGTACTCCCTCACGCTCTTATATTTCTTTACGGAGGGAGTACCTAGAGGGGAAAGTAGAGTACTATAGATCACCTTAGCAGCTTGGGTTACAATCCAGTTACAAAACATGATCCCGATTGAAAGAGAAATGGGGCTTTATAGCCATTACACTTGGGGAGCGGTTGACAAGCAAACTGAAAAAGGAAGAAGTCATTGTTGGGCGTTGAACAGCGACGCACGACAGTCTGAGAGACGTCCAATCCTTGATCAATGGCTGAGAGAGAGAACATTTCATCGAACCAGTATCTTGCTTGCAGAGCCGTCGGATGGGAGATGCACGCCAACCACCTCATCGAAGACGCGGCAACAATAGAAGTGTCAAACAATCTTCAGATATTTCAGACAAGTTCCTGGTAACTCTTGTCCAGTAGTACATGCTGAAGAACACTCTTGTTCTTTTCAAAGAAAGAACACTTGTTCAGTACACTTCAATCCAAGCACAGGTACCTGGGGGGAAGATATCACGTGATACCAAACATTACATGATACCATGGTACCCATGTTTGAAAACTTAAATTTTGATGTGTCAAAAACTTCTGAAAAAATTTGTGAATGTTCACAAGACCTACGTCTACAATCCCTAAAAAAATTCAGATTGAAAATCGAAATAACAAATCCACAGGTGAACGGTGTCATGTTTGCATTTGTCTTCTTGTGACACTATTCATGCTGGATTTGTCCTTTTCATTTCTCAATGTGTATTTCGAATTCGAATCTGAACTTTTTAGGGATAGTAGACATATGTCTTCTGAACATTCACAAAAAATTTCAGAATTTTTGCAACATGTAAATTTCAATTTTGTGATATCGACATGATACCATGATCGTGTTAACTAAAGTCAAAGCAATAATCGAGGTAACCATGTGATATGACAGCAGCCAGCAAGTCTTAAACTCTTCACGTGAACAGCTCAACAACCGAGCAAACCTTGACTCTTTCAGCTCAAAGCAATAATCGATCTACCTCGGACAAGGCTAGGCGCAAATGACGCTTTATACTGATTGAAATACAGTACTTCCATCCGTTCGACACTGTAGTGCCTATACATTTGTGAACAGACGGAGCACTCATCTCACCGCAAAGAGAAGGTGGAGATTTCTCGCAGCTGATATGCCTATCAGATTTGCATCCTTCTAATAAAAGAAAATTAATTAAAGTTGTAGCATTTCTTTTTCGAAACGGAGGGGATAACTTTGTCTCATTCCGGTAATTAAGAAGAGAGTTTACGAACAAGTACAAAAACGACCACTAAGATGCGGTCGAGTTACAACGGTGCTGCTCTCGCGGCATCAAAGATGTAAGATGCTTTGCACGTGCCAAAACCAAACCTCATAGAGCGACCTCGGACTTAACCTTGATAACAATGGTGCTCGGCATCGATGAGACGTTCATAAAGACCCGAGCATTTCCCTCTCACCGATGAGACATTCCTAAAGTTGGGCGCCAGCCTTCTCTCTAAATCATTCCTAAAGAAGTTGTGGCATCTCATTATGAAGTCAACACTACTCAATCCAAATGAATACCAACCTCCTAAATAATTACTCCCTCCGTCCAAAAATACATGTGAAGAAATGGTTAAAAATGGATGTATCTAGAACTAAAATATGTCTACGTATATCCATTTCGGCGGAGTGATATAAGGGAGCACGTATTTGTTGTTACATCTGAGTGTGTTAACTAAAAGTTGGTTAAGCAAATTGTAAATAGGCACAAGTTGATCTAATTGATGATGAGAACTGATGGTGGCGGATGGACCTAGTTCGAGACACCTTTATTCCTACTGATGCAGCAGCTATACTGAACATTCCATTCTAATCAGGAGGTGGAGCATATTTCTTGGCTTGGGCTTTCGAGAAGTCCGGCATCTACACTGTAAAATCAGCGTACAGTGCTTTCATGATTCAAAAAAAGCGTGTTGCTCTAGAAGAAGGGCCGGCTACAGGAACCTCAAATGCAAATGAACAGATGTGGAATCCCTTGTGAAAGCTCAATGTAGTACCCAAGATTCATTTTTTTTGGTGGAGAGTAATTCAGGGAATTCTACCAGATGAGAAAACACTACACCGGCGACATATCCGTGATATTAGTCGTTGCAAACTCTATTTGGCAACGGAAGAGGACCTAATGCATGTGCTAAAAAATAGTCCGCATGCCAAGGGTTTTTGGGATGAAGCTCATCGGTGGTTTGATTTCAAGTTACCTCGACTACATCCCGAGACATGGGCATGAGACATTCTCTGTGACCCAATGCTCACTGATCAGGTCCGAGCGAAGATAGTGTCAGTTATGTGGATCATTTGGCATTCACGTAATAAACAGACACATGATGAAGAAGGACCCAACCCGGCAAATGCGCTCAAGATCATCCGTGAGAACCTGGCCCTGTGGAACTACCAAAGGAGAAGGCCTTGGCTCTTCCCGGGTATGGGTGACGCCCTCCTGGTGGTGCTTGTGTGAAAATAAATACCGACGTTGGCATTGACAATGGTCTGGAGAGAGGAGAGGCGGGCGGTGTTACGGATCCTCTGATTGCTGAAGCGCTCTCTTTGCGTGACGGTGTGATATATGCTACACTTCTAGGTCTGCAAGACGTCGTGATGGAGATGGATTGCCTGGAGGTGGTGGACCTCTGAAACACTCCCCACAAATTCTTATGGAAATCAGGGAGCTGTCTGTTAGTTTTAAATCTTTTAGTACTCCCTCCGTTCCAAAATTCTTGTCTTAGATTTGTCTAGATACGGATGTATCTAACACTAAACCATGACTAGATACATCCGTATGTAGATAAATCTAAGACAAGAATTTTGGACGGAGGGAGTATTTAACATGTTTCTAGATTTTCCAACCTTCCAGCTCATCTTTGTGTCAAGCGAGCCTGTTCGCTGCAAGTGACCGAGACTTGGACAGATGATGTACTCCCTCCATTCTTATATAGTCCGCATATTAGTTTTGGTCGAAGTCAAGCTTTGTAAGTTTTGACTAAGTTTATAAACAAAAATATTAATATATACAATAAAAAATCAATACCACTAGATTCATTATTGAATGTACTTTCACATCATTTAGATTTGTTATGGTAAATATTTATATATTTTTCTATAAACTTGGTCAAACTTTGCAAAGTTTGACTTCGGTCAAACCTAATATGCAGACTAAATAAAAACAGAGGGAGTACCTCCTTTCCTGGTCAGTAGCCTTATGGTGGACTGTGCCAGGTGTGCTTTTGTTGAATAAAGAACCCAAATTCCAACGCAAATAAAAGGCACAAGTTGATCTCAGAGAATGGTAATTATCGTACGGTAGCCTAAAATAATGGGTTTCACCAACACTCTTGTCCAGTACTCAGTACACTTCAATCCAAGCACACCTAGTACTCGGTGTTGTTAGATCTGAACTTATTTTAAGCGAAATCAAAGCAATAATTTAGGTGACCATGTGATGTAACATCAGCCATTCAGTTCAGCCAAAAAGTCATAAACTCCTCACATGAGCAGCTCAGCAACCGAACAAACCTTGACTCTTCCATTGGAGGAAGCTTCTCCTTCCAACCTACTCTTACTCAGACTTTGACATTTGAGGAGGCCTTTGTCATCCAGCGATCGATCGACTTCTAGATCACTGGCCACATGCATCATGCATGCCAGTCAGTCATCTACTTGTGGAAAGACAAATGTCTGCGCAACAACACAAGGCTATCGCCGTCGACGAAACCGTCCACGAACCCCTGTGCATCGCCGTCAGAAGATGGAAATCTTCAGCCCAAAGGGGTAAAATTCGGTCAAATTTATTGTGCCTGCCAGACGTCGCAAATGATTTGTTCAACGGATTCGACGGGGGCGCCGCATTTGGACATGTTTTCCAAGCGAGCGAGCAGGGGGGCGAAATGGAATGTTTTGATTTGCGCAGGTGGGTCGTCGTCGGCGGCGGCGGCCGCCATTGTCGCAAGCAAACAAGAAGAAATCTTCTGATAGGAGTACCAATATTAATCGTTTGTCTGGAGAAATCTTTATACGAATTGCAGAAGATAGATATAGAGTACAGAAGGCGAGCAGGAAAGACAAAATGGGGAGTAATTAATTAATTCTTGTTCTTGGCGTCTATGGCGGAGCGGCGGAGACGGGTTCTGTGGTTCACTTGGCGCGGCGGCAGAGGGTGATGCCGTCGCCGACGGGGAGCTGGCAGATCTCGACGCGCTGGTCGGCGGCGAGGGCCTTGTTGAGGTCGAGGACGAAGTCGCGGTAGTAGCGGATGTACTTGCGCATGGGGGCGTCGGCGGGGAGCACGACGGAGCCGTTCCAGAGCGTGTTGTCGTAGCCGAGGAGGCCGCCGAGCTTGACGAGCTTCATGAGGCGCTCGTGGTAGTTGAGGTAGTTGTCCTTGTCGGCGTCCACGAAGACGAAGTCGAAGGTGCCGTGGTTGGCCTCGTCCTCCAGCAGCGCGTCCAGCACCGGCAGCGCCGGGCCCTCGCGGAAGTCGATCTTGTGCGCCACGCCGGCCTTCTCGATGCACGGCAGCCCCAGCTCGTAGTTCTCGCGGTTGATGTCCATGGCCAAGATCTGTTTCATTCCGGTTTCAGTTTCTTGGTGAATTGGGAGCGGTGGATCTGGGAGCGGAGAAGTGAGGGAGCTTACGGTGCCGTCGTCGGGGATGGCGAGCGCGGTGGCGAGGAGGGAGTAGCCGGTGTAGACGCCGATCTCCATGGTCTTCTTGGCGCCGATGAGCTTGAGCAGCATGTTGAGGAACTGGCCCTCGTCCGCCGACGTCGTCATCAGGTTCCTGCGCGCACGCACGCGCAAACAAACGAGATCCTGATCAGAAGATGTCACGCCAGATCCGGCCGAGGTGAGACGAAGGCAGATGAGGAAGAAAGAGGTCCGTACCATGGGTGGTTGGCGGTGATCTCGCGGAGCTCCTTCATGCACTCGTGCTCGCGCGGGTACACGCTCGTCTCCAGGATGTACTGCGCACAATCAGACCAAACCGCATCAGAAATCGCAAGATAAAACCGTATCAGAAACCGCGAGATCTGGCCAGCTCGCCGGAGACGGATGGAGCGAAAGAAGCGAAATTTTGTTGTGCGGTGGCAGCAAGTACCTGGTAGAGGGCGTCGCTCTGGAGCAGGCTCTTGTGGCCGACCTCGGAGTGGCGCGTGACCTGCTCGGAACCGTTGGCGGGCTGGTCCTTGGGCGCCGCGGCCGTGGCGTCGGCTGCCGTGGTGGCCATTGCTGGTGCTTGGTCCGAGGAAGGGAAGGGGCCGAGATCTGGGCTGCGCGTGCAGAGGTGGTTGGTTGGGTGGGTGATTGGATTGACGAGGTTGCCGGGAAGAGACTCGACGCGCGGGTTATATAGCAGCGCTGGCGGGCGCGCGGCAGCGGGAGGGGGAGAGGGGAGGGAGGAGCCAGGAAGGGAGGAGGAGGAGGAGGAAC